CTTCCTCTCTCTCTAAAATCAATAATATATCCTCAGGTGAGGATTCATATATATATATACATATATGACTCAATATAAAAAATCTATTACTATAATTCACCAAAGTAATACATCAAATGAGAACCTTATCATACTTTTTCTCTATAAATGCTAAAAGGCATTTAATAAAACTTAGTAATTATTTCTGGTAATGTTTCTGAATAATAAAGAATAAATGGATACTTCCTTAATAAAATCAAAAGCAAATTTATTTCAAACCATAAGCCAATATTTTGCTTAGAGAGAAAACACTAAAAGCATCCCCATTAAAATAGGGAACAAGATGAATATAAAACTATTAAATATTTTTTAAAAGTACCAGTCAATGGATTCAGTCAAGAAAAAGTAGCATCAGGTATATAAAAACTAGAAATGAGGAGATTTAATTATATCACTACTAAATGATACAATTGTATAAAACACATATATACAATAACTTAAAAACCAGATATAGGAAGTGGGTGGTTTCAAAATTAATACACACACACAACAAAAAACTTAGCTTTCCTCTACAAAACAAGTTAGAAAATATGCAATAAAGATTCTATTTAAAATAGCAACAAAATAAAATACCTAACAATAAGACTTAAAAAAATGCAGAAAAAAATTTAAAACTATACTAAGGAAGATAAAGAAGAACTAGAATGAATAGTGAGACATACCTTGTTCTTTGCTAGGAAGATGCACTACTGTAAAGATGTCTCTCTTGCTTAATCTATAAATGTAATGTGATCACAGTAAGTTACCAGTATTAATTTTGGGACAACTAGGAAAGCTTATTTTAAATTCCATACAGAAATACGCACAATAAGGCAAAATAAGCAATACAGTAAGGTAAAAAATAATAAGCCAAGAAACTGGAAAACTTTTTAAAAGAGAAAAGGAATGATGAGGAACTAAGTTTCCCGCATAACAAAGCTTATAGTTATAAAACTATAGCATTAAAGGCTTTTGAACCAGCATAGGAAAATACAGGTTAGTGGAATAAAATATAATTCAAAATTAGACATCAGAATTTAGTATATAATAATTATGGCATATCCAATTAATTAGCAGGCAAAACATTATTTAGTAATTTGTTGGAACACCTGACTTGACAGTTAACATAACTGGGTTGGGAGCTCACTTCTTGCAGCGAAATGGGTTCCTGATGGGAAAAAATTTTAATTACAAAAAATACAACTTGAAATGTGCTAAGAGAAACTTGGGAATTTCAAAACCCAGAAGCTATAGAAAAAATGAAAAAGTGATTAAGTAAAAATTAAAATTTTCTACATGAGAAAGATAAAAGGCAAATGACAAACTGAGAAAAAAATTATGCAACATACATGACATATTAAGCCAATCTCATGAATATACAGAGAGCACTTACAGATCAGGAAGAAAACGAGTTCAACCAACAACAAAATGGTAAATAATTTTATCTGACTTCAGAGTTTACATAAAAAGTCAATAAATATACCTGTTGGCCATCTGTGTCTTTTTTGGGAAGATATCTATTCAGGTCCTTAGCCCATTTTTTAATCTGGTTATTTGTGTGCTACCGAGTTGTAGAAATTCCTTATATATTTTAGAGGTTAACTCCTTATCAGAAATATAGTTTGCAGATATTTTGCCTGTTCCAAAGGTTGCCTTTTCACTGTATTATTTCCTTTGCTGTACAGAAGCTTTTTGTTGCCCCCCTTGTTTATTTTTGTTTTTGTTCTGTGCTTTTGCTATCATATCCATGATATCATTGCCAGGAACAATGTCATGAAGTTTTTCCCTAATGTTTTCTTGTAGGAGTTTTACAGTTTCAGGTCTATGCTTAAGTCCTTAATACATTTTGAGTTGATTTTTTTTGTACAGTGTAAGACAAGGGTACAATTTCATTCTTTTACATGTGGATATTAAATTTTCTCAACAGTTGTTTAAGAGGCTACCTTTTCCCCGTTGTGTATTCTTAGCACTGTTGTCAAAGATCAGTTGAACATATATAGTGGATTTATTTCTGGGCTCTCTATTCTGTTGATTGGCCTGTATGTCTGTCTTTATGCCAGTACCATACTGTTTTGACTACTATAGTTGTGTAATATATTTTGAAATCAGAAAGTGTGATGCCTCCAGCTTTGCTCTTCTTTCTCAAGACAGTTTTGGCTATTTGTAGCCTTTTGTTGTTCCATGTGAATTTTATAGTTGTTTTTCTACTTCTGTAAAAAATGCCATTGAGATTTTCATGAGGATTGCACTGTCAACATCACTGATCTTCAGGGAAATGTAAATCAACATCACAGTGAGATATCATCTCACACCTGTTAGGATGGCTATTTAAAAACAAGAACAACAACAACAAAAGAAATGTGCTGGCAAGGATGTGAACACATTGGAATTGAATTGAAATGTAAGTATAAATGCACAACAGTTTTTGAAGACTTCACATAAAAAAAAAGAATGTAAAATATTTTGGATATATTTGGGTTAAATTAAAAATATTTTTGAATCAATTTCACTTTTTTTTTTAACCTTTTAAAATGTGGCTACTAGAAAATTTTAAATTATATATACAGGGTGGGCAAAAGTAGGTTTACAGTTGTGAGTATGCAAAACACAGTTTATTTTTCATTTTTAACTTTTAAATATATCTTTGATTTCAGAGAAGGGAGAGGCAGAGCGAGAGAGATAGAAATATCAGTGATGAGTCATCATTAATTGGCTGCCTCCTGCATGCCCCCGACTGGGGATTAAGCCTGCAACCCAGGCGTGTGCCCTGACTGGGAATTGAACCATGATCTCCTAGATTCTAGGTCTATGCTCAACCACTGAGCCACATCTGGTCGGGTCAGAGTTTATTCTTGTATTATGATTTATTAATTATCATATAACTTTCCATATGAACAACTGTAAGCCTCCTTTTGCCTACTCCCATATGACACATTATTTCTGCTAGAATGATTGTTCTAACACCAGGAGTCTTCTCATTAAAATCAAGGTTGGCAAAGGAAGTTTACTAATGCGTTTGAATCCCCAAAACTGCTAAGAACATACCAATATGCTGGACTTTTTCATCAACGACCTCACAGTGGTAAGGCCACCGTGTTGCGCTCAGGGGACCAGAAGAAGACACACCATATAAATCTCGTGGTTCACGAAGACGTGGCACCCATCTCCCTAGCTGATATTCCAATAGTATCTGTGTAGTCCGGGGAAAAAATGGGTCGCTAATAGGGTCAGCTGGAAAAAGATTCAAACACAATCATAAGCGTTAAGAAGCAAAACTCCAATTCCTATAATTTTAAAAATTGGTTTTAGAGAGAAAGGGAGGGAGGGACGAAGGTAGTGGGGGGCAGAGGGAGGGAAGAGAGAGAGAAAGAGAGAGGAAACATCAATCTGTATTGATTTGCTGTTCCACTTATGCATTCACTGGTTGATTCTTATATGTGCCCTGACTGGGTCTTGAACCCACTACCTTGGCGTATCAGGATGATACTCTAATCAACTGAGCTACCTGGCTAGGGCAAACTCCTATATATATTTTTTATATATTCCTTTTTTCCCCTCTAACACCATTAATTTGTGAATATCTATAGATACAATTATAAATGTTTTATAATTTATGGCATTTAAAAAATAAAGGTATTAATGAAATTTTGTAAAAATTGATCTTCATGACAGCTAAAAAACAGTTGTTAATATCAAATACTATTAATTTATGCTAAATTGTCACTGCTACTTCAAGAACATTTTGGATTTTGATATGGATTGTATGTTTTCTTGCAGCTTTCTAGCAAACTGTTTACCGCTGTCTTCTTAAAGTTAATCACACTGAAGCAACTATTTGTCTAATAGGTTAAATACACCCACTGACCATATCTCTTCACCACCTACCAGAACTATATTCTCAAAGGTTGTCAGTGAACTCTCAATCACAACATCTCAGTTCTCATTTTACGGCTACTGAGTGTCACAACCCCAGGAACATAATTCACATGGAATACAATGGGGTTGTTCCAAGTAGGAGATCTTTCTCTGTTTCAATGGGATAACTGGGGCATCAACTTGATGTTGACAATCACCCTTCCTTAAGATCATTTCCCTTGTCTTTTATGATGCCACACTTCCCTGTTTTCTCTCTACCTTTCACATACTTGGTTTCATTTGTCTCACTGACTTGTCTTGCTCTTTCACCTCTGAAATGTGGCTTTTAACCTAGATTTAGTTCTGGGTTATTTTTGTATAAAAGCAGATATAGCCATTGGACTAGGAGCCAGACAAACTGAGTTCTATTCTACCACTTTGTTTCTACACGATTTTGGTTGGCCAATGCAGACTCTTTGAACATAAATCTTACTACTTGTAGATAAGAAATATTACCCTCCATTGCTACTTCTCAAGACTGTTATATAGATGCATTTATTCAACAGATGGTTATTAAGTATCTAGTATTCCATTACGTGAATAGACCACACTTTGTCTAATTTACAGTATGACTAGAAAATGGCATGCAACTATTTATTAATTAGGAAATAAAATTAGATCCATACCTCATACTATTTGTAAGTGTAAATTATAGAGAAATTAAATATAAAAATTCAAACAAATACAAAAAAGTACTTAAGGAAAACTCTGATAATCATATTGATGATCTTGGAGTAGGGGCCTTTGTAGCCTACACAGATATAAAAATAAAGAGCCACAAATGGATAATGATAAACAACATCAAAATAATTCCAATGAAAGCAATGTAAACAAAGTTAAAGGATCACTGTGAAAGCACAATTCATAACTCAAGGGAATGTAAATAGACAAGCACATGAAACAATTCTCAATTTCTTTAGCCATCAAGGAAATGTTGGTTAAAACAGGGAATTACTTCTTTTTTTTGCAACAGACTGATAAAACTTTAAAAAGAAAAAAAAAGGGTGGCAGGAAGTCCACAAAATAGTCCTACAAATTTTCTATGACTATGGGTATAGATATGTGTACAAATGCAAAGAAAAAATTCTAGAAGGAATGACGCCAAACTGAGAATAGTGGTTATCTCAAAAGAGATTTGTTTTAGGATGGTGGTGAAAAAGACAAAATAATAAAAAAATAAATAGAAGTCTTATCTTCAATTTCAAAATATCTGTGGCAGATATGTGAATATTTGGAAGAAATATTTTACAGTGCATTTGAAAGCACAACTCTGAATGTATAAATTAAAAACACACACACAAGTATGCATCAAGATGCCCACATGCACACGTAAATTTGTGAATGAATAACTTAAAGGAAACTCTTTATACAGGCATGTAAATAAAGATGCAGTTCCAAAACCTTGTGTCCACTGTAACTCCAGTCATACTGTAAATGCAACTAAAGGGTTGGTTATTTAAAGAAATGTCAAGGTAAATTCGTTTATAAAGTATTCACCATTTTCATTTAGTTTCACTGAAATCAGGTTTACCTAAAACAAACCTTAAACACTTTAACTCCAAAATATTCTTATAAAAGTGAATAAATACAAATCTCTCTCCTTATCCAATAACAGAATAATAATTCCCTATGTTATTCAATCTGACTTTTTTCTAGTTTCCTCATCTTGTTATTTTTCATCCAACTCAAGGTTGTATCATAAAGAGGAGGGAGAATATACGGATTAACTCAAACCTGTTAAAAGTGCACACTGCTGGAGATCTTCAAATTTCATGAAGGTGTCCTCATCCTAAAACAAGAGAGTTTAAAAATATTTCTCTTATAAAAACTAAAAGTTTCCAAATCTAGATTTTTTTGTTTGTTACTCCTCACCTGAGGATATTTTTGCCACTGATTTTAGAGAGCGTGGAAGGGAGGGGGGAGGGAGGCAGGGAGAGAAGGAGAGGGGGAGAGAGAGAGGGAGACAGACAGACAGACAGACAGAGAAATATTGATGTGAGACACAACAATTGGCTGCCTCCTGAACCCACCCTGACTGGGGCAGGGATTGAACCTGCAGCCCAGGTACATGCCTTCCATCCACTGGGAATCGAACCCAAAGAAATTTTTTACATCTAGTTTGTACTCAGAATTGAGTACATGTGTTTAATCTTTAATGAAAAAAATTAAAGGATTATTATGGGCTCCTGATCTCAAAGCACACAACACTTCAAATATCCTGAATCCTTAACATTTTCATCTTTCATTCCTCTTCTTCCACAGGGTAAGGTCATATTAACAAAAGTAGGGAAGAAATAAAGTTTAAAGATTCTTGGTAAACGTAGCAAAACAATTTAAATTAAGGAAAATTAACAAATAAACAGAAAAGAAAAAGAAACACAGAAAGCGACAGACTTAAAGAGTTATACACATCATTTTGGGGAGTTTATTTTGGGACCTTAACTTACATACATGATAATTTATACTTTATTAAAATGTGAAGAAAAGATTTTACAAATATTACTAGAAACAAAATATTTTTAAATATTTTAATTTTGTTTCCCCCCCTTTTTCTTCCTCTATGTCCTTTCCTTTGTTAT